CGAGGAAATGGAAGTATTGCGAAAAACTAAAAAAAAAAACCGAATATACTAAGTTTAACGGCGACTTCGACATTGTAGGGATTTACGAGTTATATCTTACAGGAAAGTTTGAGAACCTTTTTAGCGTCCAAGACATTATTTATGTTTGAAATTTTTTTTAGGGTGTTGGGTAGTGTAATATTTTAGTATGCTATTCTTCAAGTGTTAAGAAAATTAGAGAGAATTTAGAATTCGCTATTAACTCTTCGAACTTTCTAGAAAGATTGCAAACTTTTTCCATCTAGAATTCTAAGAAATGCTACAACTTTTCATAGGTGAAAGAACTTATACTTTATTTCTCTATCTCTACCAATGGCCATTCCAGACAGTGTATTTTTATTTTTAAATTTTCGGTTTTCCCGGTTCAAATCTTAAGAGATTTGCGGTTTATAATATTCAGCAAAAACAGAAAGTATTCAATATTATATTTTTTAAACGTTACCAAGTGCACATTTTTTAGTTGATTGTGGAAAAATATATTCCACAGAGGGAAAAAATGTAAAACTGAAAGTATAATTCAACTTCAGTGATCGACCAAATTTTCAATAGCGGCCAAAAATATCTATTAGTACCGTCCCAATGACGCGTTCATCTAGGTAAAATTGATAAATAGTAGATTTTTAGTGATGGGCCCAATCTTAGATCCATAGGCCAACATTAGAGCCACTTCCCCTACATAAAGGAAATGATCGAATTTTTGTAAAAATGTAAAAAATAACACACAAGTATGCAAAGTTGTATGCAAATCGGAGAAGGTTTTATCTTATTTGGCATGGAGCTGATCTTGATCCTCTTCGAATTGTTAAGGATTAATCCAAGAATTCACTGCAGCTTCCTCCAAGAATTCTTTATGTTTAAAATTCGCTTGAATTATCTTGAAATTTCCATGCAATTCACCTCAGAATTACCTTGAAATTCTGTTCAGAATTATCTTAGAGTTCTCCTCTAAAAACTGCTCAACATCCACTTGGAATTCTTCTTAGAATTCTCAAGTAATTTTACTCAAGTTACCTTTGGAACTATCCATGGAAATCCCATACAATCCTTCTAATAATTCCTTTGGAATTATACCATATGAAAACCATTGGGATTTTTTTCAAGATTTCCCTTGGAACATTCACTTGAAATTATCTCCGCAGAAAAATCAATGTCATCGGAATTTGATTGAAGTTCTCATAAGAACTCACCTTAACATTCTTATCAGAACATATTAAGAATATTCATTATGGATCTGTAATCTTGTATTCGTCATGGAATGTCCCACAGAACACCCTAAACAATTCTATGTTGAACTCGTCAATTGTGTCAATTGCGTTCTTAGTCAAAACTCTGTAAGAATTCTTCCAATAACTTCTTTGGCTTTTCCAAGAGAGGATGAAGTATATTTTTCCCGAAATTCGAGGGTTCACCCTGGTCACCCTGATTAGAAATAATGTTATTTTTGAGATAGGGTAAATGCTGGCTTCGGCACCCATTGACTGTTTTCGGTAACCAACATTTAAACGTTAATTCCACTGTATTTGCTAATCAAAACACTTCGCTGAATATATTCAAACGATTCCTTATTCTGTCAATTTCAATCTAATTACATTTTCACGCCTTTTTTTTCCTTTATTTAACGTCGGTCTCTGTTCCGCAATCCAGTGACAATCACCGACGGACATCGATTGCCATTCATTGACGGCAACCGAATGTGCAGGAAGGCAGCTTCCACTCCTGCGTAGGATATCGCACCCATTCACAACACACATGGGCCGGGACCAACGGCTTTACTTCCCTTCCGAAGGAAGACGTGACCAAAGATTTTTATGCCTCAGAAAAATCCCACCGACCTCGGCTGGGATTAAACCCAGATCCATTGGGGTGTTAGAAAGCAGTCACGCTTACCACTACACCACCGGCGCCGGCTGCCTAAGCAATCATGTTAAGCCAGATTTTTCTTTAAATGAAATATACGCACTACAAAATGCGGCTGATTTTGAGTTGCCGATAATAGAAGAATTGGTAAACACGCAATTCTAATTGAAAGACTGCCGCGTTGTAAAATCGCTTTCAAAGCACAAAAATAAAAACATCATTTGGTACCTCATACGTGAAGTTTACGAGTTAGTTGGAAACGCTATCTAACATGAAGCTTTAGTATGATAAATATTGGCTACAGAAAGGTCTGAAGAGGGTAGGTTGATAGTTCCACTATAGTACTAGAGTAGTTATTTTAGTCCTGAGAAGTTTTAAAGGTTCTTCAACTTGGAAAAAATGTTCAGGAATCTAACACTTCAAAAATATATAGTGAAAATGACTCTAATGTTGGGCTATGGATCTAAGATTGGCCCCATCGCTAAAAATCTGCTATGTATCAATTTTATCTAGAAAAACGTGTCATTGGGACGGTACTAATGGATATTTTTGGTCGCTATTGAAAATTTAGTCGATTGCTGAATTTATGTATGGGCCTAAATTAGGAGCATTTAGGCCGACATTGCATTCATTTCCCCTATATATATATAATTCCGAGGAGAGTTTTTCACCGATTTTAGAATTGAATAAATGTTTTATAAAAGAGAAAACGCGAGGAGAATCACTGCAAATTTCTGGTAAACTTCCTAAGGGAGTTCTGAACAGGTTTCCAAGATATTTCTGAAATAATGTCCTAAGGAATTTTGAGATGAATTCTAAGAAATTTCTGCGGAGAAGAAATGAAGTTCTGAATTCCTAGGTAATTCTTAGCATAAGTCCATTGGAGTTGTAAAAACTTCAAGGAGAATTATTCCTAGTTGGTTCTGAGAAGATTTTGTCGGGATATTCCGACACGATCAAGTAAATTTTAAGGATAACGCTAATCGAATGATGACGATAATTTGATGTGAATTATAGTCAGAATTAAGAGGGTGTTCTGAGATTTTTTTAAACAATAGAATCAGAAGGATTCCTGAGAAGGGTTGCCATGCCCACAAAGCAAACATTCATTGTTCATTTGTTAATATTTTTTCATTCAGTTGATGAAACTTGGTTTTACTTTAAGCAATTGAATTTTCTGCATTGAAAGTCAGAAATGAACAGCGTTTCTTTCACTTTTCGTTTTTGTGACGCAAATTTGTGAACAGCTTTTCGTCTTAATATAAATTTACTGTGTTGTATGCACTTTTACGAACCTCAAACTCTTTTCAATCAGTTGCTTTAAGAAAATCGATGTTCGTCAAGTGAGTTCAGAGTTATTAACATCAATTTGTGCGAAAAATTGAGCTTGCCATCTCTAAAAAGAATTTTTATTAAAATTTTGAGATTATTTTTTATTTAATTTTTAGGATATTATTAATGGAATATTCTATGGAGGATTCCAAGGAAATTCAAGGGAATTCCAAAGAGAATTCCAAGGTACGAGAAAAATTCCAAAGGTATGCTTCTTAAGAGTTTAAGGAGAATGTTGCAATCTTCATGTCTCAGAGACAAGCAAATTTAAAATTTAATTAAAAATTAAAAAATTAAAACTTTCCGTTTACCACACATTTTCTTATACAAACTAGAATATTCAACCGTAAATCCAGTTGTTAAAACTTGGCTAATTTTTTTGCATACCAATCGGAATATAGGGATCGTAAACTTGACCTATTGTAAAGATTAAATACAGACGCCTTATGGTTGCCTTTCTTATAAAATTCAATATGAAGGTTAATTCCAAGATTGCCGCGTAGTAAACACACACGTAAATCGCCGATTTCTCGCGAATCAAAAATCGATCTCGAAAACTAATAACACTATCAGGTAGATGAATGATTCCTCTACCATTTGGTTTTGGTTGTTTAAAAAATTGATCTGTTATTCACGAAAATTCGGCGATTGACGTGTTTGTTTACAAAAGTAATTACGCTCAAATCTCAAGTCACTCCGGAATGTTGTTTGCAGGAGGGTTCCAAATGAAATTTCAAATATTTAACATGATACATATGTCAAGAATTGCTAGAAATTCTACGTTTTTTTTACTATAAGGGCCCTTGGCGAGCGAGGGGTCCATTAATTTGAGCTAAGGAAAGTGGCAATCTCATGTTTTAATCAGTTTCGACCAATCAAGCGGATATATTTAAATATTCAAAGACCATTTCAATGGCGGCCTGGTTTCAACGAGAATTGCTCAGGGAATAGTTGAATCATTTTCCCGGTTCTTCAATCGAATTAACGAGCTTTTTCCGGTTTTCCCGGATACTTCCAAATTACAAATACTTTCAATTCCCAGTTTTCTGTGGCCACACCCTGCATTATGTCTAATGTAAGAAAATACCAAATCCCTCCGTTATCCCCTGGTGTAAGAAACTGCACGGAATGTGGAGACCCCCTAAGCCTTTACATATTTTGAGGATGACCCCATATAAGAATTGTCTTATGAGGCAAAATCCGGTAGACCTCTGGGGTTATCTCGGAAATGAGAGAATCAATTTAATAATTTAAAAGAGAAATTCAATCAGATATTTGCATTTTCAAATTGTGCTTATGATTATCAATATTAACATAAACCAAAACATCCAAATGTCTCTAGAACTTAAAGAATCAATTCTTCTACTTCTTGATTATTACGTACCAACTGGAATATTGCGACGGCCCTCATATATTCTTTTTCAGAAATTTATTCGATTTAATTTTTTCGGTATTACGCATGATCAACAAGATAGACAAGAATACAGTTTATATCAATAATGTCATCGACACATATTTATACTACAGGCATATTTCAACATTGAGTGTTTTTAATTTCGCCATTATGCCCACATTTTACACTCCAACACCACACCAACGTGCATTAATAGCACAATTACTGCAGGCTCTAAAGTAGGTTGTGAGAAGTCAACCCTATCACGTGATCAGAAATTCTTCCTCATCTTTCCATCAGGAAATAATAATCTGCTCATAGGCTGTAGTAACTCTCGAATGAGCTAACCAAAAGAAGCAGCAAACTGCATTGTACTTACCGATTCGCCCTCGTTGTGCTGTGCATCGCCGTTGGCCTGTGATTTGAGCTGATCGACGTCTTCAATCTTTTCCAGCTTGCCTGTGCCCTCTGTGACTATGCCATCCTTGGTCGGGTCCGTCGTTATATCGACCGAACGCTTACTCTGTGCTTTACCCATGGCTTTACTGTTTTGTGGTTGTTAGAACGGAATTGTCTGCAAAGGGAGAGAGTAAGAGACAAAGGATAATTGTTAGATTATCTAACTTTGAAAACGTAAGCATTATCGTCATCGTCGCCAAAGTAGGTTCTGTAAGTGCGGGATGGTGCGAACTAATTAACGCTCGAGCGGGTCTTGAATTACTTCGTGGAACTGAACTGGATGGAAGCTGGAAGTTACAAAACGGGTTAATCAGTGACTAAACCTGACAAATTTCTCATCTTTAATCTCTCGGCTGGCTGCCTACATCGAGTGGACGGGATCCTTAACGCGAATGGGGCAATAAAAGTGGGACGTAAAATATCGTCGGCGATTAAACCAGGTGTAAGTGCTGCCGGCCCGTAGGCTGCTAGACCTAGGTACGTCCGGTTGAACTCGATGGCCCAATAAAAAAGTGCGATAAAAACGAATGAAATCCCGTTAGTCGTCGTAGTCGTTCTGCACTTCTGCATATTTTCATATGTATGCTTGACTCTCAAGCTTATATACAATCCCACTCCCAACCTAGTGCTCTTCAAGAGAAGTATGTTATAATTAACATTTCCTACCCTGCTAATATCAAGGATCGGCCTGCAAGTAAATTAATGAATTTAGTTTAATTAATACATTATTCCGTTCGTATGCGACTAGCCCCGAGATGACACTCTGGGGACCAGAGATAGGAAAAATTCTGTCGAACACTTTGTAGAGTGGTCTACCCGAAGAATCGTGTTTCGCTTCACCACTTGCCCTAATCTTCATCGGACGGAACTACATATCGGAGCTTTTGTTTGTGTATGGCAAATACAAACCACACTGCACCGTCCTCCATCGCATCGTGGCTCCCTGGCCTGGCCAACAAACGATGACCGAAACCGAAAGAAGTATGTGCGCCGGCCTACACACAACCACTCGACAGAGCTAACACCATCAGGGGAGTAAATATTACACAGGCCGCCGCCACGCATTGTTGTTTGGCTGGAACGGCTTAAATGTTTGAGGAGAAAAACGAAATTAGAAATTGATGTTGGTAGAAGGAACATCGCAAGAAACATGATAGCAACGGAAACTGACCTATTGCACCGCAATTGAAAGGTGTTGATTGGTGGGGGTTCATTTAATGCATTTTTTTATTCACCCAACTGGAGGATATTTATATTACAGTTCTGTGTTATGTTTGCTTCAACAGATTGCAGAAACCCAACTGAAAATCAGAACCTATAAAATTCTAATTATTCTCGAGGTGTCCTTCCCGCATAAACGCGAACCATAACTTGATCTTACCGAAAATGGTTAAAAATTGTTTATAATCCCTGCTAAACTTTAACAGAAATGGCTATGGAACTTTACATGAACGTTTGTGTGATAAAGTTTTAACTTTCTGTATCATGGTTCTTTGGAAGTGAACCTTACAAATAATGGGTTGTTAAGAACCATTACCATTCAAAATAGTTGTTTTCTCCATAATGCAATTTACAATGTGGGAAAGATCCAGATCAGCCCTGGGACCTGGTAACCTAATTAAACTACCTCAAAGTTTTGCCAAAGCCTAGGGAATTTATAATCAATAATTTACAGACAAATAATTCGTGATATATTCCACATAAAGTTGATCGATGTTACAAAATCATCTATAGACCTTACCGACTACCATAACTATTACCATTAAAATTCTCAAATCATAAATAAAATGGTTAAAATATAATTCCTTTCCCAAAAATGTATGGAGAAAACAAGAAATTGGAATGGTAATGGTTCTTAACAACCCATTATTTGTAAGGTTCACTACAGAAAACCCATAATACATAAGGTTAAAACTTTATCACACAAACGTACATGTAAAGTTCCATAACAATTTCAATTAAAGTTTAGCGGGGATCATAAACAATTTTTAATGATTTTAGGTAAGGTCAAGTAATGGTTCGCATTTATACGGGATGGAATTATCCTCGGAATTTCCTTAAAACTTTTCTCAGAATTCCTTTGAAATTGTACTCTGTAATTTCGATTCCTTTTGATATTTTACTAATACATACCCTCGGAATTTCATTGAAATTTTCATCAGAACTCTCTTTAAATGCTTCTTGGAACTTATTTAGAAAAAAGTCCAGGAATCCTCTTCACAATCATCATGAAATTTTCCTCAGAACTATTATTTTTTTCTTTGATTTGTTTTCCGTCGATCTTGTTTACCGTCGATCTTGTTTTCCGTGTTGAGCACCAATGCTACTGACGCCAGGGAGGCAGCTCCCACACCTGGACCCTACCTATCGACCCATCAACTCATGAACCGGGGACCAACGACTTTACTTCCCTTCCGAAGGAAGGCGAGATCAGAGATGTTATGCCTCAGAACATCCCGGCGGCGCCGACTGGGATTGAACCCAGGCCTGCTGGGGTGAGAGGTAACTCTCCCTAAAACCGAAGACTGACAACGCTGCCGGAATCCAAGACACAGATATAATAGCACTGCGCTTGAGAATTATCCTTAAAATTAATGCTAAAATTTCCTTAGTGTTTTTTTTTTTTTTACATTTTCATCACAATTCTCTTGACAGTTCTTCAAAATGACTATATCCTAAAAATATCAATCTCATGATTTTGTATTCAAGCCAAGCTACACAATCTTTTGAAGAAAGGACAAAGTATATTTTTCCCGATTTTACATTAAAATTCACGGCTAGTGCTAATCCCGGTAATTTCAAATATCCAGCATATTGTTGGAATCCCAGTTGTATACAAAAGGTCTATTGTTATTGAAAAAAAGGACTAAAAGCCTCACAAACCGCAAACAAATACGTTTGAGTTGGTAGAAATAAGCATTGAAATGCAACAAAACGGCAAAGCTCGAAAATAGCTTCAGACGCCGAAATATAAGAAAAACGCGAAAAAAGTGGTTACAGGGTGATTCGGAATAACTGTCATTTTTAAAACTGGTTCTAACGATTGAACGCTTGCATGATTTTTCGATATCAGTAGATACCAGATATACTACGTACATAATCTTCAACTTAGCATACTTTCATTCAAGTCTCTCTCCCATTATTTTTAATTACCAGCCACATTTGATGCGAAACATAAATGTTTCATTCTTTCGAATAGATTTCAGTTTCTAAAAGATATCACACGAATTTATGCATTTTCATGGCTGCTTGAATTCGAAAACGCATGAAATTTCAAATCCTACTATCAATACAAGCTGATATTTGTACACGCTTAAAAACAAAAATACTTGAACATATCAGGCATAACATTTGATAACGGCACAAAAGCATTTGTAAACAAACTTTCTAAGGCCCTTTACACGCGAACCAAAGTACGCCCACGCAAAACAACAACATAATCGGATAGGGGCACCTATCACTTTCCGAAAGTGGTATTGGTTTGCATGGGCGTACTTTGGTTCACGTGTAAAGGGCCTTAGAAAGTTTGTTTACAAATGCTTTTGTGCCGTTATCAAATGTTATGCCTGATATATCATATTACCCATTGAGAAATGCATATTTGTGAAATAGATGACAGTTATTCTGAATCACCCTGTAGAAGCAAAAAAAAATAAACAAAATTTAATAAAAAAAAAATCTAAAACACAACCCTTAAAACTTAACAAAGAACCGTTAAAATTACCTTATAGCATCTTTCTTTACCTACATTTAAATCTTAAACCAGGTTTACATATACAGTTAAATCTTAAGAAGAAGAAATCGGCCTTTAAAAACATAAAAAGAAAACTAGTTTAAAGCGCCAAAATAGTAAAAAATAGGGAAAGAGAAACATTTAAACGCTAAATATATAATAAGAACTCAAAGTCGATAAAAAACGCCAAAAATGTTTGAAAACACGTTTAAATAGCGTTAAAATTTGAAAGAAAAATGATTGAATCGCTATGATGAGAAAAACGATAAGTGGCGTTTGAACTAGGATTGGGCGATCTTGGATCGATCGTTTTCATTCCGATTTCCGATTTTTCAGATCGATTCTTTGTACTCGAAAAGATCGAAAAAATCGATCTCTTCTTCTGATCTTTTCGATCTTCACAAAAAAAGGTTCTGAATTTTGTAGTTGTATTTACATCTAAAAAACGAGTTACTCTCACGTGGTAAATTAAACGAACATACCGTCCACATCAGCATCGCTCCTTACAATGACGTCAATATTTGCGTGTTTCCGACATTTACGAATACAGCAACATTTGATGAATTTAGGCACCTCCCTCCTGTTCTCATTGCTCCTTACCGTCACGAAAACATTAAATTGAATATTATAAAGGAAAGAATTTCTTGGGCTACCAACGTAAACAAGCGTATAGTCAATTCTATATGCAAGAGTATTGATGGTCCGAAAGTGAGGATAACAATAACAAACCAATATTTTTGGCTAGAGGTAGAACAAACTAAGCACTTGAAAATGGGATTACGAAAGTGTGTGAGTTATAAACGTCAGAAAGGTCACCTAAATAAAAACCATAAGATCGATTCTTTGGTACCGAATTAATCAGTGGATCGATTCTAGAACCAAATATAAAATCGATTCGTCAAGATCGATCTTTCTTTGAAGATCGCCCAATCCTAGTTTGAACCAAAAAAAAAGCATGTAAAATATCTCAAAGCCTCCTTTGTCTAAAATGGACTCCAAATCACGAGAAATGTTTTACAACACTAAAAAAGGAAGAAACACGCAAAACTTAAACATGATCGTATTTTTTTCTTCGCATTTCAAGCTTATTGCATATCACATATGGGCTTATTGCGTGCTCTCAACTTAGTGTTCTACTTCCACAGTTATTAATTGAGAGCTTTCGATGCCTGAACCATTTTTGCATTAGTATAATTGTGTGGCAAGTACAATCCTACTCTATGCCCAGGGAAGTCGAGAAATTTTCCAACCCGGAAAATTTCTAGACCGGACCGGGAATCGAACCCAGCCACCTCCAGCATGGTCTTACTTTGTAGCTGCGCCCTTATCGACTGAGCTAAGGGAGGCCCCAAGTTGTGTTCCAAATTTTTCAAATAGCCGAT